TTAAACTTTCTACGGTTTGCTCGTCGACCTTCATCCTTTTTCATCTTATTCTCATCTTTCTTTTCTTGCTCATCTTCATTCTCTCTTACACGGAGAAGAGATTGCAAACGGCGGGCAAACGAATATCGCGGGTCATCACCAAGTTCGCGTTTCGTAATGACCGCGTCATAAATAACGTTTGTTTCAATGTTAATCTGCGGCTCGGATCAAATCTAATAAAAGTACAGAGGCGACGCGGAGCAATGCCGATGGCGATTGCCTCTTCTCGTCTTCTCTCTACGAACGAACGAACGGAGGAGGAGGAGGAGGAGGAGGAGAAGCTTCTCTCCACGAAGCAAGAAAGAGAAAACCAGCCAGAGTTGAGATGAGCGAAAGAAAGACGAAGGAGAGAAGGGCTCCTCGGCATTGTTCGCGGCCGCTCGCTCGTGACTCTTGCGACCCGGATGACCCCTAGCCTCAATTACCTCAGACACATCCGCCCGCTCACCCCTTTCCTCTCTCTCTTTCTCTATCCTCCTACCCATCCCCCTCACCCTCACCCTCACCCTTCTTCGACCCCCACCATTTCTTTTCTCGTACCTTCACCGTCCATCCGTGTCTCGTCTTCGTTTCCTTCACGAACAACACATGCATCCTTTTTCAACGGAGCCTTCTTCTCTCCTTCGATACTCCTTCGAGCGAGGCAAACCTTTCGAAGGGCCATCGTGATCGCAACGATCACCGTGATACTAAAATAAGTTAGCTTTAGCTTCCTCCGCTTTTATCGTCGAGACTAGCCTCGACTTCGATAGCATTTTTAATCCTTTCTTCGGTGTTCCTCCGAGTCCTCCTTTTAAACTCGGGACAAATTCGATGGAACTAAACTAAGGGTAGAAACGCAGAGAAGTGCATCGGAAATGCAATCCCAAGTGAATTATAACCACTCGATCGGAGTTTACCTACCAAATGTCGATGATTCTTGCTTGGACCGCTTCCATGTATTTTGTCATTTGAAAATAAAATGCCGTGATTCGGCACGACTTCGTGGTAAGATGCACGAAGAGCGAGTCACACGATAGCGCACGACTCGAGTCTGATTTTTTAGCAACATAGCCTTATTCTACGTCCGTTCGATCGCGTGGATTGTGAATTATCGGGTTCCTGTTAGTTGCGTGTCGAGTCTTTACACACACCCTGCTCGAACGAGTCTTCTCTTCACGACAGGACAATTGGCTTCGTTTCCTGATATAGTTTGCGCCTTTCCAAGTGTAACGAACGAAGGAGTCGTGTTCTCGATCCGGTCTTCCGCGATATAACTTTCTTTACAAAATTTCATTGACAATCGAACCGCGTTTGAGTAATCAATATTTTTTTTCTCAAATTTGCGAAATCAACCTGCCGAGGTCGCAAAGTGTTCGCAAAGTTCATTTGACTCGTAAAAGAATAATATACAGCGAACAGTTAGTTCCCATAAAGCGTAGTCATCGGGACTCGGTCGACGCAATTTGGCAATTTCCTTTCTGCCAACACCGATTGCCGTCGATCGGTAAGCTTCGAGGCTCGATTTAAATCTTTCGAAAGATCCAGCGGTCAGTTGATTCGGTCACGCTTCTCCTCCGGTTACCTCCCTCTCACCCACCCCCGTTCGAGCAACTAATACAGAGATAGAAGCAGCACAGCTCGGCATACTCACAGTTTATCCCTCGTACTCGTTCCATCCACCCGCATACCCGAGTCTATCAGGAATACACGTAGAGTTACATACACGTATATCGCGGAAAGGAGATAGTAGCCAGAAGCGGTAGAAGAGAGAGAGTGAGAGAGGGGGTGAGGGGGGAGGAAGAGAAAGAGGGAAAAGGGTGGGAAGTCGAGTTGCTCGCTTCATAGCCGGCACACAATGGGATCAATATCCCGCTGGGGGATAAACCCCATAATCCCCTGGCATTTGTAGGCCACCTGCAGTCGAGCGTTTCGTCACGGACTCGCCGCACGTTTTCCTCGGTGTCACCCAACCGTCCGGATCATTCCAAATATTTAGACAACGCGCTCGGCCCGCGACTCCTCATTGTCCACAGATCCTCGTAGATTCTTTCAATTCAGCGCCAATTCCCTCGTCTTATTTTTTTTCTTTCCCTTTAGAAAGCAACAACTACGCTTATTTGGCCTTTACAATCGATTCACTTCATATACTTATGGATTCACATCATCCGGGCTCGATGTTGAGAGAAACGGGGTGGAGCTGTCTTTCCTGACTCGTTGTCGTCGTCGTTTCATAGTCAAGGTCGAACAGATTTGTGGTAAACGAGGAACGACAGTTCGCCTTGTCAAGCTATGATCGACGAGCTATTCTCTTGCGAGATTTTGGGAATAGGCTAGAGATGAAGAGAAACAAGGATCTCAATCGATCATGAGGCCCGCTCGAAAGACGAGACAGCTTCTCGAACGAGGGATTACGTGGAGAAGTCGAGGGTCAATGAGGTCCGACTGACTCTCTTCTATCCTTGTGACGTGTCTCCAAGGTATCGCACAGGCCCGCGTAAACCACCATAGCTTGTAACCTCTTTCTAAACAGCGAAAAACTCTGAGGGAGGGCTAACATTTTCGTTTACAATGCCAACCGTACGGTTCTTTTCAAGAGGGATACAAAGTATTTTCCTCTTCTTTTCTTCGGACTGCGTCACGTCAAAAGTTATCCGCGTAACATTGAACATTTGACGTTTCGTCCCGGAATTCATCGCGAAAAACCTTTTAAACTTTCCAATATTATTTCTTTTTTTTTTCCCCAGTCACGTCGAGTCCTTTTCTCGTTCTCATTCCCTCCGGAGAACGGTGTTCTTTGTACGGAAGATCGAGAGAAAAAAAAAACCATTGGGGAATATTTGGTCGGCAAAATGGTCACAAATCTTAACTGCGTCAAACACGCGTAAATCACGCGGTAACCTTACCCTTTCGTTTCTTCGATCGGGACTCCTTACCTTTATGCGCGTCTCTCTCTCTCTCTCTCTCTCTCTCTCTCTCTCTCTCTCTTTGTCAAGTCAAATTAATATGGTAAAAGTTTTGATTGTAACGATATCGCATAAGGATTAGATATAGAGACGTAGAGAATATTCTATTCGCCGTGGTTCATGGCAGCTTCTGAATAGCCGTTAGAGAATGCGTTCGCAAATTAATTCAATCAATTAATAGATGCTTAAAATGGGCACGGAGGACGAAACGGCGGCTAGGAGTATCGGCGAATAATTCGATGGATTCGCACGGGTGCCATCGTTCCGTGCCACGCAAAGCGTTGCCTGCGGTTCGGCGCCCTTCTGCTATACATACCTATATATTTATGTACATAGGTTATAGCTACACACATGCGTATACGTAGAAATTCTGGTGCCTGCTGTCTACTGCCTGCTACCGCGTTTCGAGACTCAATCGATACCGGTGCCATTGCCGGACCGCCATTTTATTTCACGACCAGAACTCCCCCTTTCGCTTCCATCCCTCTTTTTCCCATTTCCTCGGAGGACGTGATACTATAGCGATGAAATAAGCTCTTATTCGATGATTTGTCAAATATCGATTAATTCGATCATCTAAATGGATCCGAAAGCTCAACGAAATTCTGTTTAACCTATCATTCTCCCTTTCTCTTGATTTTTCTCTTAAGTTTGATAAACGATCGATAGGATGGAACAGGATGGTTGTTCGTTGATCGAGTCTTTATTAAAGCCTGTGCTGTGTATCATGGACTGGTGAAAAGAAACAAGCAAAGAATGGGAGAGAGAGAGAGAGAGTTGGTAAGAGCGGGGAAAAAAAAGGGCGAGGAAGAAAAAGTTGCCGGCGAGGGAGAAGGCAACCTGGACTGATTGTCAGAAGTGCGAGGAAAGGGAAAGAAAGGAGCGAAGCCGTTAATGTTTTGTGTATTCGAATAAAGAACCACGATGGTTGCGTTCGCACGCAAACAGCCGTACGTTCGGCCGACTAATGGCTTTATAATGCCTTCATTTCGTATTAAAAGCCACGAGCTACCAACTCGCGTCATTCGCGTCAAGTCCTATCGCGAGGAAGAAGAAGAAGAAGAAGAAGAGAAAAATCTTTGACTCGAGCAAAGCGCGATTCTTCCGCGTAACTCGTGGATATATTTCGCGTATATTCGAGAAGGAGAAAAAAAAAAAAGATCGCGTTTCTCTCGTTCGGTCGTTCCTTTTTCAAACGTGTAAAAATAACCGTGCGCGGGAGCACTCAACGCAACTTTACGGCGATTGTCTCTGAGTGTGAGCTGTGCGTTCTTACCTCTCACCGCCCCTCGCTTCGATATTTATGCCGACTTTTATGTTAATTCTTTTCATTGTAATGCCCTCCCTGCCATTTTCCTCTGCCGCCCAAAGCCGAATGAATGCCATTGGTCTTTCGCGTCAAACGCGAGTAATTTACGGCAAAAGGATCGACTGCTACCAGACTGGAGAAACAGCCGTTACTACTCCTACCACGCGTTCTCTCCTCTATACATTTCGAATCCCAACCAAAGAGAAATGCTTTCTTTTTTTTTCTTCTTTTTTTTTTCTTTTCTTTTCGTTCTTATTCGCATAGGAAAAATAATATATTGATTTTAGATTATTTTCCCGAGAGCCACCCTTATTATCCGATATAATTAGATTGAAGTGAAAAAGAGTAGAATACTTTTCCCCTACTTTTTACCTACCAATTATGCGGTCGATTCGAGGATCGCGTGATGATTCCGTTAAACGCGCGCTATCTCTGCACCTTGGGTTAACCAAACCGATCCGCCAACATTTGCTTAAATGCACTCATGCCAGAGTAAGGCAAATCACTGTGTACGCAAGATAATGGCTTCTTACCCGAAAGGTTTAACAACGGACATTGGCCTATGTTCCAGCTTGCAACTTGACTTAACATCAAATTGCTCCGATATCTAAACCAATAAGTATTCCTCGAAAGAAGAAATATCAATTCTCTCTAGATTAGCATTCAATTTAGTTTATAAGTGCTAATCAATTGCCACTTGCGCCCGGTACAAGAATTTATTGGAATTTATTTACAAGGATGCAGCTTGCACAGCAATGGATATGCATTTTTTTCACAACACAAGCATTAACGATATCAACACTTTTTACGCTAATAATAATCGTCAGAACGACGCTGGAATATTCTCAAAACGACGTTCTTGCGTACGCCTCTCTCTCTCTCTCTCTCTCTCTCTCTCTCTCTCTCTCTCTCTCATATCACTTATCGTTAATAGTACACGAATCACCTATCGTCTCTGAATGAATGACAATCTTTTGTACTCTTAAATAGAAGCGCTTTTCTTTATTTTCTTTCTTTTCTTTTTCTGTAACCAATTATAAGCGTATCACGAGATCCGAAATATTTAAAATTTTTTCCACGCGCAGTATACCGAACCGAAACATAAATAACAATAACGATAAATTGTGAGATGAAATATACAGCTTATTTTACAGGAATGGAGAGCAATAATACTGACAGGTCGCAAATAATCGTACCTACGTTACGCGATAATAGCAATGTAGATCATAACACAGGTTGGTAGTAGATGTATAATTTTGTACACGTACAATTTGCGACCTAAGAGTATTATAACATACCTATGATACAGCTATACTCTTTTATAGCTATTCATATGTACATTTTTATATATATATATATATATAAGTATACGTGTGTGTGTTTGACGTTGTATATACATGTGTTTCGCATATATGCGGATGCCGTCATACGACGCATCCTTTGTGAATATACCTACGCATTATTTTGGCTTATATCGTTATTTTAAAATTATAAGGAATACATATTTACAACATAATAAATTTTTCCGTTCGTTATTAATACGATAAAGTCGTTTTCCCGTCCCCTCATGCTTTCTTTTCTCACTTACAAATCGCTTTTTTACATCGAGTCGAAGAAAGATCAAATTATGAATAAAATTCATCGATGGACGAAGGCATTCCTGTGTCGAGTGCGTTTCAAACAACTTGCTATTTATATCCGTCAAACGAAACGATAAAGATAGTATGGTTCTTTCAAAAGAGAAGACCACGTTTCCTTTCAGCGTTTCGTCGTTAGAAAAGATAAAGGCGTTTCAGCGGTGACCGAGGAGATCGATGATATGAAAAAGGTTGATACGTAGACAGAAACGTAAAATAAAAAAAAGTCGACGCGTGAGAGAAACAGAAAACGACTAGTCATTCGACAAGAATCAAGAAAGAAATCCTCCACGGTTGCCAGCATTCTTAGAATAGGTCATGGGTCGCGCAAGAAGACTTCATTCTATCTTTCTCTATCTCTTTCTTTCTTTCTCTCTCTCTCTCTCTCTTCCTGCTCTTTCGTTCAACAAGCTCAGAGTCGCACATTTTGTTGGCCCCAATGGGACCTTTGCCACCACAATTACCATTCGTCGTTCGGTATTCGCTCTTGGCTCGAATCGGACGTTCATCGTCTTCCAAATTTGACGAGCTTTCACGGAACACAAGCGATCGTTCGTCCAACTATATGTTAACACGCACTTTTCGACTTTCTTCCTCCGTTCGCACCTGCATCGGTCTTCTCTCGTTCAAAAATCGACGAGGAGGATAAAACAAAGAAGCCGCGCACCGGCACAACGCACAACGCATAGGAAAACATTCGGATGCGAATAAGTTGGCAAACATACGCGAGGCAACGCGTAACAATGTCTCCCGTGTTTCGGAGGAGGTTCCGACTACGAGGGAGAAAGATCCTGGGCCTCTCTGCTCAAACTGTCCGTCGGCGAGGGTGTGGCTCGTCTGGAGGGTGACGGGGAGGGCGAGGGCGCTGCAGACGTCGCCGATTTCGGTGTGCTTGCCGTGTGATAAGGCGAGAATCGATGATGCGCCAGCGCCAGGGCCGACGGATAAAGAGGTCTTGGTGCAGCTGGACCACCGACCACCGAACCCTGCTGAGAGCTCGAAGCTGCCAGTTGTTGTTGTTGATGGTGATGAGCTGCCGCGAACAACGTCGGACCTATCGAAGACGCCCACCACAGGTGCCCGAGTTGTTGTTGCTGCTGTTGTTGCTGCTGCTGTTGTTGTTGGTGATGCTGCTGTTGTTGCTGTTGCTGCTGCTGCTGCTGTTGTTGATGATGGTGACTCGTTCCAGCGGTAGCAGCGGCTGAAGTAGCAGTTGTACCAGGATAAACCAGAGATGGACTGACCAATTGAGCGTAAGGACTGACCGCCACCGCTGCTGCAGCTCTGAGCAACATTTGCGAACGGGCTGCCCACAAGGCTTTTTCCTCTAAACTGAGATTGCTAACGGCCCCGGCCTGTAATTGTTCCATCTCGAATGGCAATCGATGCGGAAACCTCAAGGATTGCTGCTCCGCCAACATCGACTCCATCGTTTCCCTGAAAGGGAAACTGCTCGATTATGCATATCATCTTCTAACGTGATTTACATTCTTTTTTAATAAGGAAAAAGAAGAAGGATTTGCAAGCTCACCTCTCAAAGTCGGTCAAACGCGATGAATCCCGGAAACCTTTGGCAAAAGGATTGCTGTCGATCTTCAATTTGGTAATCTGAAAAATAAGAGAACAGGAAAAGTCGCGATTTTCTGTCAAAGTCGACGTTTCCTTTGGCAGATGGCAACGACGCGTGGAGGAAAACGGCCGGCTGTGTTTCTTAACGCTTCGTTTCGCCGATCGGAGAGTCAACGGTTCGTAAAATTAAAAGAAGGCGGCAAAACGGTGTCCTCGATATAGCGGAAAGGGAGAATAGCGGGATTGTTCCATCCTTTGAGTATTTCCTTCTCCTTCGCGTCAAATGGATTCGATCGTTTGCTCGGCGTAACGCAACCCAACGTAATGACCTAGGGAAGCACGCTTTCTGCTCGGAGAACAGTCTTTTTGAAATCCGAGATTATAAATCATAAGAGTGAACGAACGCGGAGAAGGAATGGGGAAAACATTTAGGTTGTACGATCAAATAACGCTTTCTTCGATTCGTACGAGTTCACATAAATGGATTCTTTATGCCAGAGTCGAGTATACCTCTCGAGGACTATGGAGAGCGAATCGAAAATTATAAAAATGACCGCTCTCGAATTGTAATAGAAATGTGCTCTATTCGATTCGTGGTTTAATGTTCTTTGGAGCCTCGACGACTACTCGACTACTCGACTACTTGATTACTCGACTAGTTTAGAACAAAGAGCTCCTCTATCCGTAGGAACCGCACTCCAATTTGGATACTCGTCATAGTAATATGAGAAAGTTTTTTTCTAGGTGTTGGAACAGAGATTGTCACGTTTGTAAAAGCCACTTTTGGAGTCGAGCCGGAATTGGATGAAAAGAGACGAACACCCCTAACGGAAATTCATCCTAAGTCGTCTCGCCCTGGCAAGTTAGGAGTTTCGCGTTACCCAAAGGGCCACCCACGTCGTGGCTAGGACGCTATGACGTTCGTACGACCATGGCACGGATACACAGGTGGCCTCGGTCACTCCGTTTCTTTTCTATAACCTAAAGCTTTCCATTCTCATTTTTCTTTTCTGCTACCATCTGAAAAAGATCTATCTATCTTCAAAATCTATTCACCCGGTAACAAACAAACTCAGCTATAGATTTTCCGTTTATTTAAGCAAGAATCGAAAATGTCATTTTACACATTATACCAAGGTGTCAACATCTTTTCAAAAATGATTTTTATTCAGAAGAGAAACGTTTTACCTTTTTCCAATACTAACATTTTTTAACATTGACCTACTTTCGAAGAATGTCAGAAGTGAACCGCTAAAGAAATAATATTTAAATGGATAGCGAAAAATGTAGAAATAAAAAAGAAAGTATTCGAGGATCCATTTGACTTTTGTCGAGGCGTCGGAACACGGTACAGCTTGTTCTTCCGGAATTGCGTCTACGAATGCTCGGCAGTCCTCTTTTATGTTTTCTTCTTATATTCGACAAGTTCCTTCTGTCCTCCGTCGACCTTCCGGCAGAAAGAGAAAGATAGGGAGCTCTTGTTTCCGAAGGTCGCGGACGAACGAGTTTATTTGTTTGGTAAAAAGAGACTGACGGCTGTTCGAATCGACAAAAGATAGAGAGAGAGAGAGACCCTCTCGTGGCAGCTCTCGCAAAGTAGGAGAAAAGGAATAAGAAAGAGACAAGGGAGTGAAGTGGGTGGTCCAATTACCCTACGGTTTCGCGCTCACGAGGAGCACGTGCAACCGGTAATAAGACTCTTTCCTTCAAAGCTAAGACTAAGCCGAACTAAGCTCGAAGTGGCTCGGTTTTAGTTACGATCCCGCTGACATCATTAGCCAAACATCTGGCTCGGCACCACCGTCGACGTCGTCGCTTCCACCTCCATCTAGTATTATACCATGTCTCCTCTACTTCTTTCATTTCTCCTCTCATATGCCTCTTCGCGCTCATTCATTTCTTACAAGCCTAACCCCCTCCCCCGCCTCTCTTTCTCACTCTATCTATCTATTTCCTTCTCTCGTCGATTCTTTAACTTCCTTTAGACTTTACGATCTGAAAAGAAACGATTTTCGAGCAGATCACTGCTTTGATATTTTCTTCTCTCGTCGTTCCGTTGTGCTAACACGATCCTATGATAAAGTGTTTTAGTTCCTTCATTTCTCTTTTTGATATTTCGCTCGATAAAAATATTAAACTTGAATATTACCGATTATTTATCTGAGCACTGCTTGAAAAAAAATATTCGAATCCGTGCAAGAAGAGTAGGGTCCGGTCCTTACGTAAGGTGTAATCCCGAGTCCCCAAGGACTGGGCTCAAAGGACAGGTAGCCAATTAAGTCCAGCTGCAGAACGCCGATGAAAATTGAGAGAGAATTTGCGAACAGGATGGGCGCGCGGTGCTACCATCGAATTTGCTCACGGCGACGAGAACCTTCGAAAACGAAGGTAAAGAAAATTTCACGATACGTGAAGTATACTTTGCGTGCAAGAAACGAACAACCAGGAAGTATACCACCAAACTGCCACTCGTGTTCTTCCATTCTGTCCGAAAGGGAAAGAGGATCGTTTATCGATCAAGGAAAGAACACGTCTCACGCGAAGATCGAAAGTATAGGTACGACTTTTTTGGTTCTTTACATTTATCTATCTAAGCTATTACATTTTTTTATTTTCATTATCTCGTCGTTGTGGTACTGACGAAACAACGAAGGAAAATTCAAATTTGCCGCATCGAGTGTGCGCCCGCTAGTTCGCAAAATGAAGCCGTAGGTAATTGACAGAGACGCTTTCACACCCGGGCCTGCCTCTAATAATAGATTTAATAGAGACACGCTCATTGAGGAAGGGGTCGCGCTTCGCTTGCGAGTACCTCCACACTGTTTAGTGCCGCTTATGTGCCTCTGCCACGCTCTCCCTCTCTCTCTCTCTCTCTCTCTATCTTTGACTCAATCGCTTTTCTTTATTTGCTAGCCAACAACCCTTGCTACCGACTAATTTAAATTTCGCGCCAGTTTTCACTCGATCAAAGCACATCAATCCATCGTCGTTTGCTCGGAAAGATAAACACCAACGAATGCGAACATTTTTTTTTTTTTTCAAGAAAATCCTCAAGGTAAGTCGCTGACGAGTTCATTCTTCTTTCTCGTTATTCTTCTTCCAGAGTATCGTCCTCTGGAACGGTAAGATAGAAAGAGAGAGAGAGAGAGAGAGAGAGGGGAGAGAAAAGAGCATCGGAAGAATGGCCGTCGGCTCGCGCGAACACCGTGTGTGGCTTCGAGAGAGCTACCTCCTCCTCCTCCACCTCCTCCTCCTCCTTCTTCATCCTCCTCATCTTCTTCTTCATCTTCCTCTTCTTCCTCGTCTTCCGTCCTTTCTCCCATTTGAACGCGATTATTTATGTTTTCTTTCGTTCCTCTCTCGCGAAAGCCGACGCCCGCAGCCACTAAAATCACCATCGACTGACTCCTCCTTCAATTCCGATCGCTTCTTCTCTAGATCCTTTTAACTCTTTAACTCTGCCCCCCTCTCCCTCTCTCCTCCACTCTCTCTTCATCGCAAATTCGATGCGCTAACAACCGCCCTATGATTTTTCTTTCCTCTCCTTTCTTATTTCTTCTTCGTTTCTCGGTGGCAAGTGTCTAAATTATTGTTCAAACGCATATGGTTTCGAATTTAAAAATGGGATTACTTAAGGTTCTTGAACCGTCAAGTAAATGCATTTGCATTCCTCTTTCTTCGGATTTACTTGATAGGTTCTCTCTCTCTCTCTCTCTCTTTCTCTCTCAATCGGTTTTCTTCCATCGAGCGATTAATCGAAACCGATCTTTCTTCGAGAAGGGTCAAGACATACGGACGTAGGTACCTACATACTAATTACACGTTAGCTTTTCTACTCTTCTCAACTCGATATACGCTGGAATTGTCGGTGGATTCGATGATAGAACGAACGATTACGATACCATGCTTCGAGCGAATATCGAAGCGTCTTGAAAGAAAACTATCTAAGCAAGGATGTTTATTTTTTTTTCATTTTTCTTCATTCGCTTGTTTTTTTCTTCTTTTGAAAACTTTTGAACGCGTGCCATCGAACACGTCGGATGATCTTTTGGATGATCTTCCGGGTTGTGATGTTCGTAGGATAGAGCAAGATACTCACTCGTATGTGCCAAAGAAAAAGAGAAGCTATCTTTCACGCGAAGTAGACGGGCCAAACGATTAGGCGAAAGTTACGGAGAGCCCGTGGTCTTCTTTGAAGTTCCAAGTGGTCTCGAAAAAAAGGCGTGCCTTCGGCGTTTATCGACTGTCGTCCCGCCGTCTTCTCGCTTTCTGGCTTGTTCCATAGGAATCATCAGCTCGAATTTACGCATCCCTCTGCTCTCTCTCTCTCTCTCTCTCTCTCTCTCTCTCTCTCTATTTCATTATCTATCCTTTTCTTTTTGGCATTCTTCCAACGTTTCCACTTGGTCGAACGCAATTGTAAACATCAAACAGTAACAATGTTTTCGCCAACTAATACTTTTGAAAGAAATTCTACAAGCAAGATAGAGCATATGTATAATCGCGATCATTGACGAAGAATGAGGTGGACTATGGGGTACAGAGAGGGGGGGTAGAAAGAGTCGACATTGCAACGTCTAGTGGTAAGGGCGATAAGAAGGTGAAAGAAAGACTTGGAGAAGATCAGAAGCCGTGAAGGAGACGGAGGATAAAGAGAGAAGCAAAGCAGTTAGCTTATGAATTATGATGTGGTGCGAGCGAGAAAGACGGATCGGCACGGTCGCGGAGGTCGTTATGCGTCCGAAAGAAAGAAAGAGAGAGAGAGAGAGAGAGAGAAGAGAGAGAAAAGTAGGCTATAAGAGGAAGGAAAGAAAATGTAAAAAACGTGCATGCGACGATGTGTGACTCGCACGACGAGATGAGAGACTGAAAGAGGAAAAAAGAGTAGCTGTTGCGACTAAACGAGCTTACGAACCCACGACGACGACGACGACTAGGAAAAAGAGCCCTCGACGAGGAGGAAGAGGAGAAGGAGGGACGGAGAAACGTTGGGAGACCGACGAGGATACGAACCGCGACGAATGGATTTTTCGACAACCTTCCAGAAGCGGATGGAAAGACGGAGACCTAATCGCGATGCCTAAATCCTCACGGCTTTACTTCCATATGGAGATGAAATCATAAGTCGTATCGTTGTCTTCGATCTGAATGATTTTCAGAATATGTGTGTTACACCAAACAAAGAAATTTTTCTATCATCTTTTAATGAGACTATGAATTGTGCCAAGAGATGAATGACACGAGTCAAATACCGTCAAATCTATCTCATGGTAACGAAGAAAATTCCTCTCTCGGTTAAATGGACAGGAAAGAAATTTCAACGCTTGCTTCAAACGCACATTCCATTTCTCATTTTCCTTTTTTTCTTATTTGTGGCTACCGCCACGTTGTTGCTCTACGTCTCTTTATTCGCGTTTCTTCACCTTCGTCCTTAACCTTTCTATTTTCATGCGCTCGAGTTCGTTGAAAAGTCTGGACAACGGCGAGCCTCGATCGATGTTAAAATAAAGGAAGAAGAAGAATAAGAAGAAACGGAGAAGGGAAGCCGCAAGAACGATAATGACGAGAGAACGCAGAAAGTGGAGGCTTACAAAGAAAGAAAGAGGATGAATGGTCGAGAGGAAGAGAGAAGTAAGCCCGAGGTAATTGCCAAGGCATCTCTTCGCACCTCATCATCATCATCAACAACCACGTCGTCGTCGTCGTCGTCGTCGTCGTCGTCGTCGGTCGTCGTCGTCGTCGATCGTCGTCGTCGAGACCTTTTGGACCACCCGTTAGTTTTCATCCTGCCACGATCGCCAAATCGAGACGGGTCTAACCGAATTCTGATTCCCTTTTTTTCTTTCCGGTGCAAGGGGAAAAAGTAAAGAATAAAAAGCAGAAGGTAGCTAACGACAGGACTGTCCGTTGAGACGATCCTTATGTATGCGCGATAAATAGGGAGGGGAACGCGTTAATTTCTCTTACATTAGAGCAAAGGATGGATCTATCTATCATCGAACTCGCACGTTTAGATTATTACACATGACCCAGACGATTTTCAGTCTTCTTTAATGGACTTTTAAATCGTCGAGCTATTAAACTGTCTTTAAAAGTACATAAACGCGTGCTGCCGTCGTTCGTTCGTTCCTTCCTTCATTCTCGAGATCGGATTCTTACTTTTCATGCACGCACACCTTATTCCTATTAATCTCGATCTTGTATATCTAAATATATTCTCGGGCATACGTCTAACCAAGCTTCCTCGGAGGAATGAAAAAGGAAAAGTAGCGAGTAGAGGAATCTACGCGATGATAGAAATACAGTTCTCGATCTTTTGGGAAAATTCGTTAAAAGAATAGACGGGTTTGTTTTGGATTCCAGATGGGAAATAAAGAAATGTGGAATCGGATACCAAATTGGGCCTCACACGGAGCAGCGCCGCGACGCTCGCGGAATGCGAACGTCTCTCCGAGAACGAGCGAGGGCACTTCGGACCACACACGTGACGCACGTCGGGTTCTAAACGACAATCGTGAAATACGATAACTGCTTGCCGGCGTATACTTGCGCTCTCTGAATCCTGAATTGCTACGTACGTAACTCCAGGCACATAGGAAAGTGCACGAGAAAGAAAGAGAGAGAGAAAGAGAGACGAAGAAAGATCGTTACGGGTTCGCCTACGGTACCGATTTTTGCCTCGTTCTTTCGCCGATTTGCCGACGTTAAATCCTTGCAAATCTATTTTCATTCTCCTCGCTTCCATCTTATTTATCGTTCATTCCTAACTCGCCTAAAGAAAATAATAAAAAGAAATATATAGAAACGACTGGCAAGGCGACGAAAGGAGGTCAAGTTTATCGGAGTCTTTTAATTTCTCTTTAAAAATCAAATAATAGAGAGAGAGACTAGTCATAATAGTTTTCTAAACGAATAGGACGAGGGGGAGTCCCAATGGAGAAGGGAAAAAGAGCAATGGGTCCGTTTAGAGGAAAAAAAAAAAAAGAAAAAAAAAAGAAGAAGAAGAAGCAGAACGAGTAGCAAGAAACAAAGCAAAACTTACGAGCTGATTCTGATAGGCGGTGACAGCAGTGAATATGGCCTCCGGGAATATGAAGGTCTTGTACGATTCCTTCTCGAGATCAACGATGGATTTGGCCGTGCCCGAATCCGGCCTCTTCACCAGGTGGATCCTCGGCTGGTACTTGTGCATCGAGTTCAGCACCAGCTGCAAATCGTCGGCAATTTAAATCAAGATTTACGTCTATGTACGCGACGTTTAGCAAATAAGCACGATGTGGCGGCTCTTATAAAGGAAAGAGAAAAGCAACGGGCTAAGAGGTCGTTACCTCTTTGCTCTCGGGATATCCTATCGATTTCGCAAAATGAAAGAAAACGTACCAGCTAGGCACGAGTTCTTAACGGCTCGGCCAGCCCGCGCTGAATTAGCCACTGTAAACGATATTTCGCGGAAACAAACGGTTCCTATTCGTACTCTGCGTCTTTTCTCTTACGAGAAATAAAGAAAGATATAAAAATATAAGACTATAATTCTTATTATTAAGTGAGGATAATCAATAAACTAAAATTTGTTTTTCAGAAAACCTAAAAAACGACAATTAAAGTCTATTATTCTCACTTATTCTAAGCAGTTTATTTATCTATATTTATAATAAATATTCTTTACTCCTTTTCGCACATGTGCTTTATTTTATACTCTGTGCTTTTTTCTTTTTATCAGTCGACACCTATCTCTTTCTTCCGATGTTATTAATGAATCCCTCTAACGGGAGCTGTTTGAAGTGCGACAAATACGCATTAAAGGAATACATTTTCTTTACATGTATATATAGATAGAATAGAACTTTTGTTAGAGTTCGAGCAGGAGTCTATCGAAAGGTCTATCGATCGTTCCCTAGATTTCTTTTTTTTTCTCTCTTTGTCTTCTCGGAAATATGACAATTTGGATAGGATCGATAAGTTGTGACGCGTCTATTTCGAATCGTCGTCGTCGTCGTCGTCGTCGTCGTCGTCGTCGTCGAGGGCGACGGCGAAGTGATAGCGTTCATAATAAATGAGATTCTCGATGGAAGAAAAAGCGTATGAATTAGGAGCACTTCGCTTAGGCATTCTTGTACCATTCAAAAGAATCACTTTGCCCTCGTCCGCCGACGTGTAACACCCTGAATACAAAATGAGAGAACCGTGAAGAAACGCTCGGTCCGATCGGAGTTCCTATTTACGTCAGTCATCCGATGAATTAAGGGACCCAGAAGGAGAAAGAGACAGAGACCAAGAAAGAAAGAAAGAAAGAAAGAGAAAGAGAAAGAGACAGATAGACAGACAGACAGTAAAAACCTGGCTGACAATGAGACGAGAAGAAAAAGAAGAGGAAACTCGATGGGGGAATAGAGAGGGTGGACGACGAGGGTGCTCGAAAAAGTAGATTCTTGCGAATCATGACAAACGAGACAACGGATTGTCAAATTATTCCACAAATAGTCGCGAGATCTGGTCGTTTAATCGCTCGATTCGAAATTATCCGAGAAAAAGGAAATATACATTGTGTTACTTTGTTGAGGAAAGAAGAGGTCGCGTTAACGCGAACGCGCGAAACTTAAACGAAAAGCGTACGGTCCATAAAGTATGCAACAGGTAGGCAGATCCCGGCATATTCGAGTGACATTTTAACTTTCCACGGAAAATAGACGGGCACACGCACGGCGGAATACTTTATCATCGAGCCGACACGTGGGCCTATAATCTTGGTCGTTCGTACTCTGGGTCACGATTTGTTTCTTAGTTAAATCGTCGCACAATTCATTCGGTTCGATACTTTTTCTTAACGTTTTTCGGTCTCGTTAAACGATTAGAAAAAGACTTACGTGGCCTTGCCTGTCCATGTCGTTGTTCGTGAGCTTGACTTTTTCGAAAGAGACGACCTGCTTGCGAAGTTGTTCACCGGTAAACGGTGAATCTGGGTGGACGTAAAGCCGAGCAGGCGCAGGTGGATCGGCCTTTCCTGCTACCAACCATGAGCTTCTGTGATAAGCGTATCGGTACCTCTTGTTATCCACCGGCACGATATCCATTAGCACCGCGTACCGGCTGTCCGCCTTCAGCCCATTGAAGGAGACGCGGCAGGTCGGGAACATCCGCCTACGAATTTATTAACAATACCTTATGTAACTGTTTAAGTCAATTGTAATACAAGAAAATAGGCGCAAATAACAAGGGAAGAAATAGAGCATCATATTGATAGTAATATTTTTGCTCTAGAATCGCTCGAGCAGTGCTCGCTACCGGTCTCTTTGTTTTTTCTAGCCCCCGCAGCGCTCGATCATTTATTCATAATACACCTGATCGAGGTCAGCGTTGGAGCCAATTTTAAACCACGATAAACATCCGCGCGATAGCATATACTCGCGTTCCTCGTTTAAAGTACAAGGAAAGAAATGGAGCAAAGAAGGAGAGAAAGAGAGAGCGAGAGAGAGAGAACATCCGAAAAACTATCCTAGATAATCTCGTGACGAGCAAAGCGCGGACATTCGACCGCGAAAATGATCGCGATCGCGTTGAGAAAAAAACAACAAAATAAAATAAAAAGAAATTACTAGCAGAAGCAAAAGTGAAATAAAATGGTTGCGATCGTAGCCACCGAGAAGGAACTCGTTTTGGGAACGATGAATCGACGATGTAACGATCTATTTTTTGTGCTTTCTTAGTGCGCTTTTTATTCGGTCTTCTTTCTCTCTCTCTCTTTCTGTGTGTGCGCGAGCGCAGAGTATCCCACGTTCACACATGAAACACGCCCTTAACACTGCTCACGGTCACTCCCGTGGACCGGCGCGAGGGGTACCTCCTCGTTGGGCCTCATCGAGAGGCTTCGGGTCCCATGGCGCGAATGTTTTGCCTCAGAGAGCAAACATTAATACCGTGTCGGGAACCCTGCTGGTTCGACCACTAAAACGCGGGGACACCCGCCGATCTTATCTACGTCCTCTCCTCGGTCCTTGTCGACTCGGGTATGCATTCATCCCGGTGCAGCGCCACGAGCGTGAGTAATGCTTTTATTTATCAAGCCGTCCTTTGTTAATGAATTGAACTTTGGACCACGAAGGTAGATGTTCACTCGCTTCCTCTCTCTCCTTTTCTCTCTCCCCCCCCTCTCCCCTTCCTTCATCCTTTTTACCACTCCCGGCAATTTTTCTCGTGACCCAAAGGCGTATACGAGAGATGCTACGAGGATTATCCGTAGGAAGTCGATGATCCAAAGTGACAGACTAACGGGAATCTATCGAGGTAACGATCGGAAACTCACCCTCCTTTTATTTCCAATGCGAAGTGTACGGCAGACCAGTTTCAATGGCTACTCTTTGGGTAATCGCGTCTCAAAAGTCAACTGGGAATGGATGATAAATGAAAACGAGAATTCGACTAACTATTTCTTCTCGTCTTTTATCAACATCGATGAGTTAATAATACGACGAGGAGGATCATTTAACGGACGTTTATTAAAAATCATTTTATTGTATTTTATCGAAGTAAATTTTTATAGATCGATAAAAAGAAACGTGAACGTTGAGGGGTCGCGACGTGCAAAGGAAGGATTTTATCAAACTGGAGGAGGAGAGAAAGAGAGAGAGAGAGAGGTTCGGGAGTGGTAAAAAAAAGTCGAGACGGCGCAGACGCGTTCTTAAGAGGTGGAGTATAAGAAGTAGCGAAGGGTGAGGAAGTTCTGCCCTTAAAATATCATCAAAGGCAAAAGAGAGAAAGGAGAGGAACGAGCTCGGAGATACTTTCGAGTAGCTGAAAAGGGGTGGCTGTGCCGATGTTTCTGTTAGTAGCGATGGTGGTTGGTGGTAGTAGTTGGCGGTAGTCGTGGATGGTGTTGCTGCTGCCGTTCTTCTAAAGGAACGAGAATAAGGAGAAGTAAGTTGACGGTTGAAGGGAGCGACGACCAGGAACGCGACGCAGATCTAATTACTGACGCACGAGTAAGCGCGCAACCGGCTGGAGGAATCCCTTACGAAAGAAAATAAGGGGCTGGGGAAGGAGGAAGAAGGAAGGGCTTTAGGGACCGTATTGCCATCGTACCGGGCAATTAGGCGCGCGCCGATCCTCTGCCGTCGTCCAACTTCCCCAGCTTTCCTTTTCCTTTACTTCTCCTCTCCTCTCCTTTCCGTACATCCTTACGACTTTTGTATTTTACAAGATTTTCTCGCTCTCTCTTTCTTTCTTTTACATCCTGGCGTAATATTCGATAAGGATTCTCAAACAATCTTTGATACACTCGGAAATAGGTAAAGCTTTTCTCAAGGGTTGACTAAATATTTATTTAGTAGCCAGATGGTTCGCGTTAGTTCACATTCGTTCACGTTCATTCTCGTGGGTGTCGTATCGTGACCCATATTACATCCTGATTGAATTCGTTCGAAAGCATTTCGAACAACCCTCTAACGTGTCCGAGACGATAGAAAATAAGGGTCAGAAATTCGAAAGCCAAGAGAGGGGCCACGCGTAACGAGAAAGAGTTAATGGTCCGACATCATCATCGACAAATGGAAACGTTGATCCATTAGCAAAAGCGTTGTCCCTTGGGACGGTGCGTCTCCTGGCTAGCCGTCGTGCGGCTTTGCTCCAATCGTTCCTGACCTAACTCGATATTATAAGCGAACGAGCGAACGAACAAAAGCCTTTTTAGCTAGAGTTTGGATCGTAAAAGCGTAAACGGTTGCTTGACTCGTGACAAATAATTTACGATGACGTCTTGCCTTGCCAAGTGTCGTCCGGGCTTTCGTCGTTGCAAACGACGATCAAAATTACCGTTTGCGATGATAGAAATTAAACTTCTCGAGGACATCGTTGTTTTAAGCGTAAGCAAAAATCATAAGCACCTACGTGACTCGATCTTCTTAAGAAATTAATATTTAAAGATAAGGTACTTGATGTGACAAGAAAAAAATTCCCTTGCCTTCCGGTTTTAGTGATGATCATCTCAGTGCCTAGTTCGTTGAATTTATCCCAAAGATCTTTGGTTTCAAGATGACAAACAACGTGCTTCAACTCCTCGCAATTCCATCGTTCCTGAAGCAACGGATTAACGGGCGAGGCACCCTTCCCACTGGTACTTCCGGCGTCATCCGTTTCCGGTTCGTCTTCGGCGTTGATCGATTCCTGAACCGATGGTGGTCCACGGACGATACCAGAACCGCTCGGTTCCCTTTCTGCAATCAAAATTTATCCTAGGTACATTTTCTCTTACGTTGCAATACATTCAATAAAACCATTAACCCCTCTGCGATTCTATTCTTATAAATTTTGGAATATAGTTAAATACCTATATAGGTATATCTTAGGTAATACTTATTTTGAATTTGAGAACTGGACCTTTAAATAGTTTAGTCAAAAATATTTAAAGAATCGGTAAAGAAAGACGATAACTTCCGGCGTTAGTTGACGGTTACAGATTGATCGAAAGCAGCAAGTGTCGTTTGAAGAAATATAGAAAGGATTTCCTTTGGAGCAAACATTTGTCACGGTGGCATCGTTCGCGCTAGTTTTTTACCCCGTTCGTTGCACGCGCTCAAGAGGAAAGCCAAAAATAACGATCTTCTTTAATAGTCGAACGAGTGAATGAACTAGATACTTTGCCTTTTCAATTAATATTACAATTTCCCGTTACACACAAAGATAAAATCTCCACGATTTTCTCGACCTTTTCTTTTTCCTCCTCCTCCTCCTCCAAATTTCCTTTTTCTAATTAATTAATTATATAAGTATTTAAATTTCGCGCTTCCAGAGATAATTTATTTATTTCTAATTTCATTTCGTATTTATTCATCGTTTTTGTACAACGATGATTCATTTACATCTCTCTCTCTCTCTCTCTCTCTTGATCACTTTGTTTATTTATACAAGTTATTGCGCGCCATTTTTTCGCATAGATTCCCGTAACTATGGCGCTCGGTCTCGAGTGGCCCTGTAAAAAAAAATCAAAACGAATATTGCGGGGTAAGGTTTGGTCGACGGGCGTACGTACCGTGACACGTAATAAATCAAGTATCGTTTACACTGGCTTAGCTTGTTTCCAACGATCGCGATTAACTACCGAGTTTATCGTCTTTCGAGACGGCCGTCGCTCTCGATAGAGTCATTCGATATGAATTGCGATAGCCCGGGGCGACATTTTCCTCTTCGACTTTGACACTACAAGGAACTTAACTGACCGAAGTCATTTACTAATCATCTATTTCTTCAACAAATTATCTAAATGATAGATTCACGAAGAATCTATCGTGACTCACGCTAAGTCGATCGTACCAATCGTTGCGAAAAGAGTTTTGCGAATTAATCGTCGTAAAACTGATTCCCTTCACCACTCTCGAGCAATTAATTATTGAGTTACGTTTTACTGGAGAACGAACTATAGAGAAAAGAGAAATGAAATCGCGTGCGGATAATCTCACGAGTACGTCCGCAAGAATAACATTCTCCACAAACGCGACAACGAAATACTTTTTTTTTTTTAGATTAAAAGTTAAAACGAGGCAATTGAAATCACTGTTATCGGTCTAACATATGCGGTAATTTGTAATTTAATTATCTACCAGTAGAAATTCTTTGCGCAAACAACACCCGGATCCTCTCTACTTTTTATCTACTTTGTAAACATTTCGTCTACAAATCGCAACGAAAGTGTCAATCGTCGAATTTTATTACAATTTCTAACAGACTAGACTTTTTCTGTTTTACGAAAGAGAACAAGTTTAATTATCCACTTAGAGAAAGACTTGTTTCAATTTAGCGTTATTATCTTTAAATTCGCCAATATGTTGTAGTAACTAATGAAATTATAATTTCTATCTTATTATTAGTGTTAGATAAACCAAAAAGTTTTGCACCGTTCAGACGAGTTCTAATAAGAAACTAGAAAAGGCCACGCACGGTCTGCCATATGCATGTGAGATAAACAAGGAACGAAAGTGAAGTAGACGAGAGAGAGAATAGTATCGTTTCTTTGCATTTCCATTTCTTCAGAACAAAGTAAATCTTTAATAACGCGAGCTACATCTTTTACTATTTTTAATTTACCCGAATGCGAGTAGAAACGGAAACGTGCACTTTTCTACAACTTTCACGCCTAGAAACAGAAAACGTCCGAAAAAATCTTAATTCTTTAGAATTACTAAAGATCGCTAGCCTTCTCGGCGAATTACACGTTTGAAAGGTTCACGATAAGTAAACTGTTATTTCGCTGGTTCATAAAAAAAAAAAAAAAAACAAAAAAAGAAAAAAGAAAAGGTAAAAAATGTTCGTGCACGAGAATCCTAAAACGACTCTTACGTAATCGTGCGAGTCCGATTGGAATCATCGAGTTTCTCCAGGATCGCGGACTACATTTATACTCGTAATTCTACCTAAGGTAAAAGACGCCATCTTGTACGAACGATTCGCGGCCATTCCTAATCCGACGCGGGACTCGGAGGATCTTCGACTTCCGAGGAAGAACCTCCTTTCGAATTGTAGACGATCGCTATTTCGTTCGGATTCCATCGGTCGGCAACAACGGATGGCCAATTAATTTCTCGCGAGAGACATCAATGTACGAAATTGATAGTCGGCACCTGACATGGCCGACAACTCGTTACTTCCTTCCTAACTGCCCGTTACGAAATTTACTATGCTTTTCTTCGATCAAAGGAACAACATTTAATCGACTATCAATTTCATCCATTTCTCCCTCATTTAAGTAGAAACCTAAGGTAGACATCTAAGGTGCCTATCTATGACACCTGCTCATCCAATTTTCGCCATTCGGATGTGAACTAAATCATCAATAAAGCCCAATTTATTTCAAACGATTTAACGTCATCATATACTTTTATTTCTTTTTATTTTCCTCTTCCCTTCTTAGTTGGTCCTTCAATTTATCCCCGTGTATATCACTCGAGTCACGCACCCGCTTTTTTCGACCACTGCGAAGATACGCGACGGAAATATCGCATTTTGATTATTTTACGAGGACGCATTAGCTTCGTTTTTTCGCGAAATACACGTCACGAATGCTATACGTTCACTTTTTTAAAACTTAGTTGAAATATTTATTAAAATCAAATATCGATAGATTAATATTTCGCGAATTATCTAATAAATAATAAACATATTCGTATCTGCAAGCACAATCCGATAATTAAATGATAAATATCAGGGAAAAACTAATATTATATTTTTATTAATACCATCTAATAATAGTTAGATTCTTTTAGAAAATAACTTCTTGAGAGATATATGTCGACGAGATTGAATCTTCCTTTTTTTTTTTTTTTGTTCAGGATGAATGAGGGCCGACGACGAGAGAACGATGATGGTATGCCAGATAATAACTAGGTAACTATATCGTGATGCTGTCGGCCATCTTACCGTTACATAAAACAATTAAACAGGCTCTAGTTGAAGAAATTTTCCTGATCCGATGACGAAGGAAAAAGTATAAAAAAAAAAAAAAAAAAAACATAAAACAAAATCAAATAAAAGAAGATACAGTACTCGGACAGAGACACGTCGTCCTCCGATGATTGCCCAGCAGCAGACGAAACGCGTCGACTGAAAAACGATCACTAAAAATACTTGGTAACGTTACCGTTGGCATCGTCGAAACGATAAAACGACTGTTTTCGAGGCAGAAGCGAGCAAGAGGATACGACGACGACGAAGAAGAAGACGACAACGAAGACGAAGACGACGACGAGATGATCGCGGCCACGTGAGGGAGGATAGCGAGAGAAACATAGGAGCGCAAAAACGCAACTAAATCACGAACTCGACCGCCAAGATCCTCGAGGTTCTAGAGCTATCCTAATTGGTACGTAAGGAAACGCACTGCGTGTGTGGTCCGTCAAGCGCGTATTTTTATTCGACACAGTCAACGGCAGTGTTAAACGACTGACGAAACGGATGACGAGCCCGTCTCTAGATCTCTCTGTTCTTTCTCTCTTTCTCTCTTTCTCTCTTTTCCTCTATCCATCTCCGGCTCGAATAAGTTTACGAGCAACGCCAGAAGCGCAGAAGCGTTTCGTTTCGTTTCGTTTCGTTGCCCACTCTCTCTAACTCGTTCTTTCTCCGGGTGAATTACGATCGCGATTCCGAGCACGACGGATCAAAGAGTATCTCTCTCTCTTTCTCTTTCTCATTTTCAAAACAGAACGAATCCCATGCCCAAAAGAAAACCTTCCAGATAATCGATCTATTTCGATTGTGTCGATGCAATAAACCTTTTTGCGAAACCCAACACGATTTTTCCTTTTTTCTATCTATCCACCTACTTACCAAGTTACCTATCTATCTATCAACCTACCAACCTACCTATCTACCTACCTACCTACCTACCTACCTACATATTTGCCTATTTTTTTTTGTATTCTTTAACAAAGGAAATCCGCGATCAAGTGAGACCATAAAAACCTTTTTTAAACGCGAACGATTAAGGAGAGGATTAGTAAAGGCGATCGAGATGAGAGTGTCTTAGTCTCGCACGAGGATTCTGACCACCTATATTTTTTTTTACTTATTCTTTTGATTTTTTTTGTTTTGTCGATGTGTAATAGCGGATGACTTTCTTCCTGTACGTATCAGTGATGAGCCGTTAACGGTAATGAACGGCTTGCAAACAGTCTATGAACAGCCTACGAGCTCCGCTAAAAGATCGTTGCTCCTCTATCTATCTATCTATCTCTCTCTATCGCATCTAGATATCTATAACAAGTATTCAAGATTAATGATTTTGTCGACGCGATAGCTAAGCATGTTAAATAATTTTACGTCGCTTTGCTCGATCTTTCGAGCCTAATGTTGCATGAAGGTATGCGTCGCATTAGAAATATTCTAATGTCACGTCATTTATTTTAGTCATTTATTTTTTTTTACACGAAACTTACACTTCCTTTATCAAAGATTGATTAAACATGGAAGTAATGGAAGAAAAGATAACGAGAAATTTATGAATATTTGTAAAACTATATTGGATTTTTAAGAATAAGTATTCTCAATTAAAAGAAATTTTTGTAAATTTGAATAATAGGAGCTTGAGACGAACAAAATCCGAAAAAAAAAAAACAATAAATTCTCGATCGTGAGATGTTGCATTAACCAAACGGATAATGCTTTTTAACGAATCGAACGCGAATGTAATTCTTCTGAACTTTGTACGTATTTAATAAGAAATAAATAAGGCATTGAAACGTTAGCGATGGTGATCGATGCAAAAATTACAAAGTCGTTTATCGTCTAGATGAAAAAAAAAAGCAAATAAAGTATTAAACATGTTAACAGATGAAGATAAAAAAAAACAACGCGTTGATCTATCAATCTGTCGGCAGGTAATTAAAACGACCATCGCGTTCCTATATGAAACATAAATCGATGATTCGAAACTCTAGATCAGGTTACTTTTTTCATCGCCATGCGCGATAGATATTCTTCCATCTATTTCTCTTGAATATTGTTCAATAGAACAAAAAATTAATCATTCGATTATTTTCTATCTCTTTAACGAATAAACAAACAATTTATCCTCTATCATTAATCGCCACTTTCCTATGCATCGATAATCGATCTAAACCGATCTGACGGGTAAGTCGAGACGGATGAAAAATAATCTAAACAAAGTAGAATCTCGAATGTAACGGATCGTATCCTTAGATGGAAAATCGAAGATTCGCTTTTCCGTCTATAACTAGCTATCTAGGCTAGACTAGGTATCTAGCTAGCCTCGCGTGTCAGTATATGAACACGAACGAAAATTGAAACATCCAACGTTTCGTCTTATTTTATTTTATTTTCCTTGATTGATTATGGAGATCGAGAATCAAGCGTAATTTCGCTTTCGAACAAAACTAGGATAGGTGAGCTATTAGAAAGAAATAAAAGAAATATCGAATAAATAACGTATTAGTTGAGAATTTGCTTATTTACCGTTGATAGAAGTAAAACTCGGTCATTGTTGGCGAAGTAAATTGCAGAGGCATTGCTCTTTACTATTTCAGAAAGCTATTATAAATCTTGTAACGCCCCTATGACGCATGCGAGTCGATTACCCAGGCACGCCTTTTGTCGATCATTCGATCGATTCGTAAAAATTGTTGATGGTATTCGTGCTTGGCGTATATGAAAATCGATCAGAAAAGGAGGATCATCATAATGTACTGGACCAGTTGATTTCCGTACGCATAGAAGTCTTAGTCAAAGTAGGACGAATGACAATACAAAATGAAAAATATGTCGAGATTCTAAATACGTGTTTCTCCTTTCGCTTTTGTTGAACAAACACGCGTATAGGTACGATTTCATCAGTTAATTTTACAACAAACCGATATCCGTTCGCGCGACTTCCCGATACGGAATAGTAATCTAGAATGGATCGATAATTTTCGCGACCTGTTGGCCTCTCTCTCTCGAGGCTAGATCTTTTTATATCTCGCTCTTGCTCTTTTTTTTCTGGGAAACAAAGTAAGTCCAAGAATGACGATGAACTGAGACGGATAATGATCGTACAACCGATACTTGGGATATGCAAAAACGATCTAATGGAGCCGCCTAACTACGAACGTAGCGAATCGCAATGCATATCCAACGTGTTCACGGTTGAAAGTCTCGATGAAGTTGCACCGGTGTGGTCTTCCTTCTTCCTCTCGTTTCTTATTTCTAAGATAAAATAAATACTTATGCACGACGAGATAGATACCTAGCGTCGTTATACGCTCCATCAATTATTATTCCTATGAGAAATTTATAAAAAAAAAAAAAAAAAAAAAGAAAACAACCGAAAGCGTTTCGACGATTCCTACTATTTATTCTTTGTCATGGAGATCGAGGAGCGCTTCGAAATAAAAAATCTTAAAATCATTTACACTGGAAATTATCGCTTAGCGTACTAACACCGCGTATGTGTGCTTTGCTATCTATTCGAAATAGGTACTTAGGATAATTGATGCTTTGCCGCCTTGCCTTACAACGTCGAATACAAACGAACGGTTTCGACGATACCTACGAGTTTGCAACGCGCGCACTGCAAATCCAAATACCTAATGAACAAATCATTTCTTCAAAACGCAAAATTCTAGATAATAGAAAAACGATTCGCAATGATGTTCAACCCTTTTTATTTCATTTGACTAATTACCCGACAAAAAAATGAATCCTTACCTTTTTATTGGGACAAATTTGAAAGAACAGTGAAGAAAACAAGATTCTTCTTCAGTTTAACAAAGACAACGGAATGAAGGCAGGATCGTTTTTACACTCGAGAAACACGTTTTGTCTTTACGTAAATATTCGATAGTAAAAATAAATTCTCCCGAAGAGTTTCTGGACGTACCGTGGTGGCATCGCAAGACCCATTCGAGGCGTGAAAACAAACTAGCTGGGACAAAGATCGATCCTCGAAGAATTCTTCCCTCTTTCGCGATTTTACGATAGGCGCGACGTTGGTATATACCTAAGGTACGTATGCATACGTACAGTGCTTTACGATTTATTTCAGTATGTTCGGACAAACGGCCGCGTTGGAATAATATCGAGCATAAAATTCGAGAAAACTCGCCAATGACAAAGAAACCGAACGTCGATGGTGTTTCATAATTTTATTCGATCCACCTTAATTTCTTCTTTTTATTTCTTTTATTTTTTTTTTTCTTTTTTTTATTTTCATTCTTTCTTTTCTTCTCTACAGGATACATTCGAAAGGAAAAAAACAACAACAAAGCGTGGCTACTCCGAGCATCGTCTACTACAGATTTCGCAAATTTATTCGATCTCGCCCGTTTCTTCTGCTTCGTTGCAAATTGAAAAATTTTACGTCACTAAGGAGAATATTATGGTACGGCTTTCCCGATAAACTCGACTATTCTATTCTATTCTATTCCACGAACGCTATCCACGAAGAATTTCTATAGTATTGTGCAGGTGTTGCGTTGTCGCTTGATACGATTCGAAAAATGAACAAGAAAAAGAACAAGATAAAGATAAAGAGAGAGAAGAAAGAAAGAAAGAAGGAAAGAAGAAAACTCGACCCTGCGAAAAGTTATCCTCTTCGATCGTCGCAATAGTCTATGCTTATGTTGCTACTATTAGATCCGTTTAAACATACGAATATATATATACAATATATGCATATATACATCGACACAAAACTACGATAAAGAGAGAAAGAGATAAGCACACGCAGCACTCGATTTCTCGCTTCTCGACTCGTCCTCGCATCGCCGTTTAACCTAAATTTATTTGGGAACGACACTAACGTTTCTGTGGGTGAATTGCAGCGTGTCCAACCGTAAATTTCGTCGCAGTAGGATCTTCGTGGGCGATTATTCGCCGCGGGCGTCCAAGATACGCGATGATGAAACCAAACACCATTGGGACCTCTCTCTCTCTCTCTCTCTCTCACTCTCTTTTCCCTTTCCCGCTCCCACCACCCCCCGCTACATCTAGTGCTCTCGCTCTCGCTTTTCTCCGGAGGACGTCTGGCCGGACCCATAGAGAAAGAGAGAGAGAGAGAGAGAGAGAAAGAGAGAGAAAGAGAGAGAGAGACACAACGGTCATTTCCAGAATTCCGATGAGACACCTCACCTGGGCAGATCGTATACGAGCGTGGCTTTCGCTCGTTCTCGCCTTTTCTCGTTCGCGCCCTCTCTTCATTTCTCTCCCTCTTTCTCTCTTGCTCTCTCTCTTTTTTCTTTCCAATGAGATATTTCATCGAAGCACCCGTACCGCGTTAACTTATTCACCCAGCGGCCGTTTCGCGACGATTTACGTTCCGTGAGAAAATTCGGCCGATCGTAGAACACAAACAATCGCCCTCCTATTATTTATTTTTTTTTTTTCGAATCATAAATGACCATTTCGAAGAATCTTGTTTTTTTTTTGTTGTCGCGTCGAAAGGGAACCCTCGAACGTTTATCGAAAACATCGCTTGTCTTTTAAGACGTCTTCCTTACTCGACCAAAGCGACTTTTCATTATCCCATCTATCAGCAAAATATCTGCAAAAAAATCGACAATAGCTCGTCACGCGTCGTTTATCACAAACGATGAAGGATTCTAATGATTATTTTAAAAGACGTTTACTACATGTTGCCAAGTCGAATAAAATCGAAGATATTCTTAGGAACTATATACTTTGAATCAATTTTTATCCTCTTAGTTGGCATACGAATTGGGTGGATATTCGTTGGTAACAATTTCATTCGAGATCAGCAAACGAGTTATTTTATTTGCACGATATGAATAGTAATTATTCCTTATTTGAGAAAGACACGATCTAGACAACGCGATATTTAATCTTTAGATAAGAATAATCGCGACGTACAGATTTTCTAATAAAATTTGGTAAAGGGTAATCGATGGATTTAAAAAAAAAAAAAAAAAAGCGTTGCAACGTATTTCTAATCTCGAGCCCTACGTCTCAATGAACGGACTATTATCGCGGATGAAGAGATTTATTGTTATTACTTATAAGCGACACACGCATACACACACGCGTGATTGCTTGTGTTACATTTGACGAGCATCGTAAAGTCGTTTAACAAGAAGCTTTAGGTTGCTGAAGTAGCACGTTACCAACTTAAACTCACCGTGTTGATGAAGCTTGCCGCCGCCGACGGCCTGCTGTTGCGAATGTCGATGATGATGATGATGATGATGATGATGATGGTGATGTTGCTGCTGCTGCTGCTGAGTTTGTTGTTGAGAATGCGATTGGGATTGAGATTGAGATTGAGATTGTTGTTGCTGTTGCTGTTGTTGCTGTTGTTGTTGCTGTTGTTGCTGTTGTTGTTGTTGCTGCTGCTGCCTCGAATCTCTGGCCATGATGGCCGCGATGCTGAAGTCGGTAGCGCATTGTCGATTGGAGTTGCAATTATTGTTGATATTGTTTAGGAGACTGGCATTGGGCGAGGTACTGGAGCTGTCATCGGTGTCATCCCTTGTACATCCGGAAATTCCGGTTGGTACCGCGGAGGCGGCGGCGCTTTCGCCCTGCATTTTCCTGCCGAGAAATACGCGATGATCCCTCGACTCCTCGTCGTCCTCCTCGCTACCGCCGCCACCTCCTCCTCCTCCTCCTCCTCCTCCTCTTCCTCCTCCTCCTTCAGCTCCACCTCCTCCTCCGCTCCGACCGCCGTCTCCACCCACGAATGAAGTCAGTGTCAGTCCGTTTCTCTTCCTGCCGTCGAAGGTTCGCGACTCCAGCAACATCACCTCGACGAGTACCTACTTGTCCTCGCGTTTGCCTCCTTATTGGCTTTTCGAAAGATCTCACTTTTCTCCTCTTTGATTCTCTCTCGAATCCTCATAGAACTCCCCCCCGCCCGATGTCGTTGACATCCTTTTCGAACAATGAAAACGATTCCTTCGCAATCTCTTGAATGCTTCGGAACATGCCGCGTCACCGAAAGCAATGTCAATCGACAGACGCATCCAAATTCGAAGTAAGCAAAACAATTCTTATCTCGCGATCTTGCATAAAACGATCTTTGACACTCTAGGAACGAGCAACGCTTACTCAATCGTAATAGACGCGTATAGTGTCGTTACCGATCATAGACCACCTCACCTCTCTCTCTCTCTTCCCTCCGTTATGAAGAAATCTCGCGAGAGAAAACAGTCAACACGTTGCTATTTGACGTTTCTTCGTAACACGTACGTACACTGTTCAAGGGAAAATTCGGTTATGGACTCCGCCAAAAAATCCATATGCGACAAATTTCAGGTGAACGTTATGAAAATGAACGAAGAATAACAAGAATAAGAATGACAATAATTAAGAATAAAAATAACAATAAGGTAGGAAGAAGTTTAACGATAGCAGAAGGAACGGAAAGCGAGAAACGCTAGAGCGACCGGTTACTCGACAGACTGACCCTCGCCACCGTCGCTCGCTTCTTGCTTTCGGTCCCCACCCTCGCGAGTTGACGGCGGCGGCGGCGGTGGCGGTGTTGGTGGCGGTGGCGGTGGCGGTTTCGAGGACGCGAGAGGAAAGAGAAGAATAAAGGAGAGAAAAGGAAGGCGAGATTACTCGCGTCGACAAGAAGACTGCTTCGGAGTAGGCGGGGACCGCGTTACTTTCCGTGGCCACGCCCGCGTTACACCGGGAACCGCCTACTCTCGGCACAAACGCACCAGGGCTACCCAAGCAAGCAAGCAAGCAAGCATAAGCGTTATCACGCGCTTTTCTCTGTCGTCTGTCCGCTACGAGATATAACGGGAAGAGGCGGTCCCCTTTACCGAGTAATCCTCTTTTCGATTCCACGTTGCGTCGCCCCTATGTCCTTTCTCTCTCGCCCCTTTTGCCACCTTCTTCCTCGATCACTCGTCTATCCTTCCTTTTCCCTTTATTTTCTCTTGTCCTCGTCGTCGTTGGCGTCGTCGTCGTTGGCGTCGTCGTCGTCGGCGTCGGCGTCGTTCCCGTCGTCAGCGTCGTCCTCGTCGGCAGCAGGGTAGTACAATATTATGGTCTCGTACGCGCCATCCAACTCACAGCAGTTGCCATTTTTTCTTACGAGAGGGGGCAATTGCTGACAGGGACCGCTTTCCTTCTCCACCTCTTCACTCCTACCGAAGAGAGAGAGAGAGGGGGAGGGAGAGGGAGAGCTTCGAGTTCCCGAGCACTCGAGCGGAGAGCAATTTATTGTTTTACTGGCGGAGCTTTAAACACGAGCGAACGGCTAACAGCGATGGGTGGGTGGCTTGCTCGCTTCTGGCTGGCTATGGCTGGCTCGCACTCGCTGCCCCCGGCAGCACCCACCGGTGCCCAGATGGGTGGGTGGGGAGACGCGGCTTCCAGAGAAGCAGAAGCGACGTTGCTTCAAGCCGTCAGCGTCCTACGTGCGAGGATACCCTGCCTGCTCCTCGACGATTACATCCGGATCTCTTATTACTCTCTCCCTCTCTCCCTATTCCCCTTTTTACTCCGCTCATTCTATCGAGTCCGTGCTCGCATTTCCAATTTTCAGCCTTTCCCTATTTTTCTTATGCTAACCCTCTTATTGTTCCTTTTCGATCTTAATTGAACCTATCTTTTCCATTAAGCGACCCAACGTGCAAACATATGTACTCATAATTTCCATATATCTAGGAAAGTATATTTCGGTTTTCGAAATGTCTTCGAAAGTTTGACGGGAAACAAGATTGTCCAACGATGTCATTGAAAAAAACGGATCGATGATTCTGACTCGTGTTCCCGTCGTTGCACATTTTTCCCTTATGTTTTCGCTAGATATTGTTTTACCGAGCAATCGCCCAAAAGAATTCTTATTATTGAAATTTCATCTCTTCCTTGTGCAATAAATCTGGCTCCGTGTTTCCTTACGGATACTTTTTCCCCATCGAATCGAAATGTTCTCTATTAAGTTCGATCGTTGTGTCTAATTAATACGCGTTTCTTGCCAGTCGATAATAAGGGCAATAGGTAATCGGGATTTAGGGTTATTTCCGTTTTTTCTTTTTCTTTGCACCGCGATACACGTGGAAGGAAGGAAAAGAAGACGGATGCTTTTAAGAAGAAAAAAAAAAAGAAAGATAAAAAAGAAGGATTGTATAGCAATCGAGAAAGGAGCCAGAGAGGGGAGGTGGAGGGAGAAATCGAATAGGAAGTCGACGTCAAAGTACTTACGTGCGCGAACGATCGAACCGAGCCCGAGAAAGAAGCTGATTGCCCCGGATATTATAATGATCGTATAGCTGGAAATTACCTCGCGCGATAAATACGCTTGCTACGTACATGTGTGTGTGTGTGTGTGTGTTGTCGACGATCGTGAATGATATCATCAGCGAATTATCGTAATTACATACTTCGGAGGTATTTCAAAGCGACGCGAGCTATTATTGAAAATTAGACGAGCTTGCGCAAATCAATTCGATGAGAGCGTTATGTTATTACCCTTACCAAGAGGTAAACGCGATCGTTTACGCGCACAACATAATCCGCAAACAATTTCTCCTATCGGTCTGCTTTTATTTTTTCTTCCTTCTTTTCCTCGACTTGTCGCGAAAATTTTCCCATGACTGTTTAAAACCCTTTTCGCGATAATTGAAAATTTACTCGATTCAACAATAATCGCGAAAATAATTAAACGCGTCTTGCAATGAAATAAAAATAAAACGTGTATCTATACTTTTTCTTGACTCGTGATCGGTACTTCGAGTATGAATCTTCTCGTTTGCTGTTGCACTCCTTGCCTGGCTAGAATTATCAAGAAAAATATGCTTGTTGCGTATAATCGACGCTTATCTAGCTCGTTAATGCTTATAATTGACAAGCCGTTTACATCGTCTATGAGAGAAACTCTAATTAACAACGCGTTACTATTAGATCCGATCTTGGATTCTTAATTACGCTCACACGTCAGTTTACTTTCTTGCCCGTCTAACGAAACGTAACGATTTAGCGACCGGTACGAGATTTAGCATGATTTTTCTTCATTTTTCGTTAATGCCGGCAGATAAAAGAATGATATAATCAAATATTACAAAGTTACTGAATAAGGGCGCACCTTTTGAAGTGGTTTTCGGTAAACAGGAACGTAGCAGGATCCGTAGTAGTAACTGCTATCTAGGAACCAGACACCAACTTTATTTCGCTAAACAAAGAAAAAGTAACGCGAGGAAGAACCGAAACGAGCGGAAGCGGTTTAGGCGGTCGGTCCCTTTGATTCTATCAAACGCAACCGAAAGCAGAGCAGGCATTTTAAAGAAGCATTAGAAAAGGGGCACGTGCTACATCAAGAGATAACCGAAGGCGTTTATGCGCGTTTATGCGGCTACCTTGTCTCTCTTCTTAGTTTTTTTTGTTCCCCGTTACTCCTTGAAGCAAACTAACGAATGTTCTCTCAGAGAAAAATCATCTATGAGTTCGTGTCTGTATTACTAGCATAGAAAAAAATATATGAAAGGACACCTTTATTATTCGTGGCACGTCTTCTTTCTTGTTTCTCTCTCTCTATGCTTTAGATATAGGTCATGAATATAAATCGTCCTCCCTTACATCTGTAGCGATAGAACGCGCGGAATAATGAAGCGTTTATCTAGACACGGTCTATATATACATATTATATACCTACGACATACATAGGTACCTATCGCGAATGCGTCGACGCTACTACCACTTTTATCGATAGCGAGAACGTATCGATACACCTACCTAGCTATAGCTACACGTGTCTACAAGTTTCGATCGATAAAATAATATATTCATATACGCGTATAAATATAACAGCGTATAGGTACGCGTACATTCGCACTACCTACCCTCTTTTTCCGCCAGAAGAGTTATAAGCGTTCGATGCCGAATAAAACGACGTGACTTGTACCTGTGTTAAGCTTTCGCCGTATCGAAAAGCGTCGAATACTTTACGACGGCGCCTCCTCTCTCTCTCTCTCTCTCTCTCTCTATATATATATATATATATATATATATATATATATATATACTCTGAGATACGACTTTGATATTTAATATATTTTATCCTTTTCTACCTTTCTCCTATCGCCGGACCTCCAATATATACGATGTTGTACACGAGAGAAAGAGAGAAAGAAAGATCGCCATTCTTAACGCCCCAACAACATGTTTCGTTAAAACTATTTTTCGAAAAAAGTCATCTCTGTTTTTCTACTTTGATAACAAGACAAATAATCACGGAGGATATAAATTTTACGTTAAAGGAACAACTCCGAGTATCCTGGGAACGCAAACTCTCTCTCATACTTATAAATTTATTAAAAATTTATATGCCCTTAAGCATAGGGAGGAGGAGGAGAAGGATTGTAGAAGGGAAGAAGATTTTTGTCTATAAATCAATATATCGAAATAGAGAAAATAATTCTCACTTTGTGAGAAGTAAATGCGACGAAAGAGAGCGTAGTACTACATATATTTACATGGTAATCTATTAATCCCTCGAAAAGAAGCTCCCAAAGTATATTTCGAATCGGTGAATCGGAGAGGGCGTTTCCTTGGCTCACCTATACAGAAAGAGATAGTCACGTAAAAAAAAAAAAAAAWAAAAAGGAAAAAAAAGGGAGAAAGGAAGAAATGCCGATGGACCTCCCAATGGAGTTTCGAGATCCGTGGCTACTCCTCGATCGCCACAAGGTAGTCCTCGGGGTTGATGCTTCATTTGGGGAGAGCACGTAATCTGCTTAGTCTGACGCTGATCCGGACAAATCGCTGCGCGGTTACGCGGCACTTATTCTCGTCTTTCGATGCTCTTTCCCTGCCCATCCCCCCTCTACCCATCTCCTACCCACCCTTCCTATACTTTTTCCTCGTACGTTTCGGCCGTTTCAATCTGATTAACGGCGATGTCAATCGCTCGATACCAACTTGGAAAAGAGAACATGACTTTCGATCATTTCAGGAGAGAAATTCACTCACCTTTTATTCATATTGTCAACTTTCTTTATTATATTTTTCTTTTATTCCTCCTTATGAAAAGATGAAACCAACATTTTTCTATCAGAACCCATCGATAAAGTTAAACAATAATAGCTTTCTTACTTAGAAGTTAACTCGATGTTTTCTCGATCGCGAACACATTTCGGTATTTGCGATTTTTTTCGGTTCGTCATACGTGACTAACGTGCTTTGCAGCTATTTCGCGATTCGATATTTCATAATACCTATCGTTAAAGAACGAATGAGAATCTCTATCGTGGATACTACCTCCAACTCCAATTTGAGCTATTGGCCCTCTGTCATTCTGTGGAGAAGGACAGTAAGCTAAACAATCTCGCGTGACAGCTTTCGCAACGATTCTTGTAACAACTAGCACAACAGCTCGTCCAACGCTTATAACAAATTGGACTTTGACGGCCGTCGGCTTGCCAGCCGGAAAAGAATGATGTTCGGTTTTAAGAGG